GATAGATAGATAGATAGATAGATAGATAGATAGATAGATAGATAGATAGATAGATAGATAGATAGATAGATAGATAGATAGATAGATAGATGACAGAGAGAGGGAGATGGATGAATGGATGTGGGCCAACCCCTGTCTACAGTAGGATTGTCCATTTTTGTTCAAGATAATGTGTTCTAATGTGGATTTCATGTTTTCTCAACTTGTGTCAGCCCAAAACCAATAATGACATGTGGTGATTCTTCCAAGCTGAGTTCTTTATTGTTTCATGCCTACAGACAAAATATTGCAAGACTGAAGACTCTGCTATCCGCATCTATCCTATACTCTGGGAACTATTAGGGAACTATTAGAGATATCATGTGATATCTCTCACACACGCTATCTGGAGTAAGTTGCCTCTTACTCCTCTGGAGTGCATCCCTTCCCTCCTGGAGATCCATCCTTCTACATTCCATCACAGCTAATGCTTTTTTAGTTCAAGGTTGTTCTCCTGCAGCTCAAGCCCTCGGGTATTTGAGGAGAAAAAAATCTGCAGTATTTTATTTTATTTTTTAAAAAAAAAAGATGATTGGCGTTTAGGAAAAGCTGCTACCAGACCATGCGGAATATGTGGCAAAATCCCCTGCAGCTATTCTCACGATTAAAAAATAGTCCAAGAAAGTAAAATTAAAGAAGTAGAACTTTGGTAGAACCGATGTTCTACTTAACTTTAGAGTCTGTGTCTAATGTTGGGTATGACAGAGCTTCCCCTTTGGAATTTTGCTCTCTTCAAGGTGACAGTTTTTTAGATCTGGGTTAGGCAACCTTGGCTCTTTTATGACTCATGGACTTCAACTCCCAGAATTCCTGAGCCAGCATGGCTGGCTCAGGAATTCTGGGAATTGAAGTCCATGAGTCATAAAAGAGCCAAGGTTGCCTACTCTTGGTTTAGATGATAGTGTGTATTACTTTCTTCTGCAGTGTGTGGTCCTAGAACTTTTGCCCTGGTGTTTCTCAACCGTGGCTGCTTGAAGAGATGTGGAATTCAACTCCCAGAATTCCATGGCTGGCTGGGGAATTCTGGGAGTTGAAGTCCACACCTCGTAAAGTGGCCCAGGTTGAGAAACACTGTTCTACCCACAAGTCCTGCCGTCTTTGAAAAACTAATGTATAGTTTTATTGATCAACTCACTTTTCTCTTTCTTCCGCTGCAGCGTGCCACTCTTCCTGCCTTTCTTGCACGGGGGGATCTCCCGAGAACTGCACCGCTTGTGCCTCCCCTCAAGTCTTCCACGAAGGCCAGTGCGTCTCTGAGTGTCCTGAGGGATGGTATCATCGAGAACGCCACTGCTATGGTGAGTGTCCAGAGTGGAAACCCCGGGCAGTATAATCGAAGAGTAGAACAAAAGAGCTATTTCTCCATCATAGCTACTTAGAGTCCTCGACTTAGAACCCATAAAAACATTCCCTAGTCATGCTAAACTTTAGATTAGGTGATAACTATGATCATCTGTCAAAATGACACAAAAAGAGGTCTCTAGAACTTTTCCTCAGGCAGGTTGTGATGAAAGAGATGGGCAAGAAGCAAGACATTCCATTTTGTTTGTCCCAGAAAAAGGGATAGTATTCTGTTCTATTCTGTCCTGTCCTGTTCTGTTTTCTTCCATTCCATCCCGTCCCGTCCCGTCCTGTCCCATTCCACTCCACTCCACTCCATTCCATTTCATTCCATTTTCTCTTCTCTTCTCTTCTCTTCTCTTCTCTTCTCTTCTCTTCTCTTCTCTTCTCTTCTCTTCTCTTCTCTTCTCTTCTCTTCCCATCCTATCCTATCCCATCCCATCCCATCCCACCTTACCTTACCTTACCTTACCTTACCTTACCTTACCTTACCTTACCTTACCTTACCTTACCTCAGTGATGGCAAACCTTTTAGACACCGAGTGTCTAAAAACCAAAAACTCCTGCTTCCCTGCCCCCCGCCCTGCCAGCCCGCAGGGCCACCTATCATCTCCATGGCCTGTCACAGGTCACCCAGGTAGCCCTGCAGTGCCATGGCAGCCACACCTTCCGCCTGCGCCCCACAGCATCATCTGAGCGGAGTCTTGTCCCCGCTGCCCGGTTGCCATGTCCTTGGCTGCACTGCTCCACGTGGGCCACGCCCAGGGGCGACTCTCCTCCGGGGGGCTGCTGGTGAAGAGGGGGCCGCGGGGGAAGGCATGGCTGGGGCAACGGCGCACGTGCCCATAGAGAGGGCTCAGAGTGCCACCTCTGGTACGCGTGCCATAGGTTCGCCACCATTGCCTTACCTTATCTTATCTTACCTTACCTTACCTTTTATTTTATTTTATTGTTTTGTTTTATTTTATTTTATTATTTTATTTCATTTCATTTCATTTCATTTTTGAAATTTATTTCCTGCCCATCTCGTATCCAGCAACTCTGGGCTACCATCTAATGCCAGCATTATCTAACATTGACTCTACGTTCCATCTTCAATTTACAACTTTAATTTTGAATCAGAGACTTCGTAGCTAAAACATCTGGCACAGGTTTTGGTCTCCCTTAACTTCTCCCCTCTCCCCTTGGTGTAACTCAAATGCTTACCTGCTCTTTTGTGACAGTTTGTTAGTGAAGGTATTAACCACCTATGGATTTGGCTTTGTTTTTTTCTGACTCATCTTTTATTGCTGGCTTCTTAAAAATGATTTGTGTTGCTGACAAATAAATATGCACAGGCTCCTGAAAACTGGTAAGTAACAGATGGGAGAAGAGAGTTAGCAACAATGATCTGTATTAGAATAATGGAACATTGAGGAAAGAATTACCTTGCCAGCAATGAGCATGTTCTGCCTTTGTTTTTAAATGGCCTCTTAGGCATTTCTGTCCATGATAGATAACGCAGGAGTGTGTGTAGCTACTGGGGAAAAAAGACAAGAAAGGAAGGTCTCCATATGTAAATGTGTTCATGCTTCATGCTTGCTATAGATGTCTACAACTTGCATATGGGTGGTAGATGTCACTATTTTCCAGTATAATAAGAGTTGGAAGGGACCTTGGAGGTCATCCAGTCCAACCCCCTACTCAAGCAGGAAACCCTACACCAGTAATGGGGAACCTTTTAGAGACCGAGTGCCCAAACTGCAACACAAAACCCACTTATGCATCGTCGGGTGCCGGGTGGGTGTGGCCCATTGGCTGGGTGTGGCCAATTGGGGTGGGTGGCCCATTGGGCGGGCGTAACTGCGGTGGTAACAGCAGACTGGGTGGGACTAAAAAGTTCAATCAATCAATTCCAACTTTGCAAGATCTTTTTTTTTTCTGCGAGAAGTTGAAATTGACTGATTGCACCTTTTTTTTTTTTTTTGCACATGGCGGTGGAGGCCTAAAGCGAAAAGGTTTTATAAAACCCAGCTGAAGGCTTAGGACTGGGGCGACGGTGCGGGTGCCCACAGACAGGGCTCTGAGTGCCGCCTCTGGCACCCGTGCCATAGGTTCACCACCACTGCCCTACACCATTTCAGACAAATGGCTGTCCAGTCTCTTCTTAAAAACTTCCAGTGTTGGAGCATTCACCGCTTCTGGAGGCAGGTTGTTCCACTGGTTAATTGTTCTAACTGTCAGGAAGTTTCTCCTTAGTTCTAGGTTGCTTCTCTCCTTGATTAATTTCCATCCGTTGCTTCTTGTCCTGCCTTCAAGTGCTTTGAAGAACAGGTGGACCCCCTCCTCTTTTTTTTGGCAGTCCCACTTTGTGTAGAAAGGCTGCTGGACGGCCTTGAGCCAGTCACTTTCTCTTAGCCCCAGGAAGGAAGCAATGGCAAACCACTTCTGAAAAATCTTGCCAAGAGAACTCCAGGGAACTTGACCAGGCAGTCTCCAAAGATCCGACATGACTGAATGGAAGGAAAAAAAAATCCTAATTAAGGCAGTGGTTGCTTGGAAGAGAGAATGGTGACTGTCATCTTCTAAGCTTGTGAACTTCCTAAGTGCATCTTGTTGACCAGGGTGACTGTAGCTTGGCAAATTAGGTCTTCTTAACTTTCTGTAACCAAGGCATGCTTCATTGGCAGATAAAGGTATTCCTCAACTTATGAGCACTATCTTGCCACAGTTGTTAACTGAATCACACTTTTCAATGCCGTTGTAACTTTGAAGGGTCACTAAATGAGCTATTGTAAGTTGAGAACAACCTGCATCGACAATGATCAAGATATATAAAATAATATGGTGGGAAATAGATAACTCTTAGGAAATAGAACAAGATTATATTTAAATAGATAAAATGTGTACTTTGGATATTAGAGTTTGTTATGTAATGAAATAAGGGAAATTTTGGTTACCCAAAGTCTGAAAATTATAAATATCAAAGGTTAAATTGGAATATTGACAAGAAATTAAAAATTGACTAAAATCAGTAACAGGATATATGGATTGTTTATGAAGATTGAATATAATTAAGATATGTATAAGCTAAAAATTTATTGATAAATGTAATAATGATGTCCTTATTGAATTGATATAATTAGAAATGTACCAAACCTGAACATGAGACGGTAATGGTTAAGGGAAAAAGAGAAGAAATATTTGAAGTTGTAGCCTGAGATTTGTACTAAGATATTGTTATTGAGCTATTGATTAACCCAGTCACCACGTTGCTTTTTAAATATTCAAATGTAAAATTGGAAAATTAATAAAATATTATATAAAAGAAGATATGTAAAATACTGTTAACATTTTAATCCCAGAAGAAACAGCACTGTTCCACTGCAGCCACCATGAATTAAATTCATGAATATTACAGACTTTATGTCTTTACTGTGAGCGTAACCATACCATTCCTTCAGCAATATCTTTCCCTTTAGATAAGGTATATATGGAAATGGGCAAAACGTTTGAAAATCTCAAATCCAAAATGATCAGTTTTGAAGATGGAAACTCTATTTTCAAATATGAAATATTTGTTGTGTATTTAAAGATGGGCCACTGCCCCAACATCGTGCAAGGATTTCAGATTCGAAAGATGAGTGTTTTGAATTCCAAACAGTTCAGATTTGCAATGCTTTTTCCCATCGTCGGTCAGCCTAAAGCAGTGGTGGTGAACCTATGGCACGCGTGCCAGAGGCGGCACTCAGAGCCCTCTCTGTTGGCACGCGCGCCACCGCCAGCAGCAGGTCCATCAGGCTGCCACCGCCGCCCGTAGGAAGAGACCCACCCAGCAGAAAGGAGGCAAAGCGGCCGACTAGCAAGCTTGAGTAGAGGTGGTAGAGCAGAGGTCACTAATCATTGTCGATTGGTGGACTGGAAGAAAAAGGAGGGGAAGCATTTTACATGCGTGCATGCTCACATGGGGCCACGAGCACACATGCACTGCAAATGGGGCGGGGCTAGTGCCTGCGTGATACTCACTAGCCCTGCCCCGTTCTTGCGTGGTGCAACGCCTTGTATCTGCATCCACGGCGCGGCGGCGGTCGTTTTTGCGCCTTGCAGCACGGTGGTCCATTTTTACGCCCCTGGTTTTTGCATGCTAGAGGCAGCACTCAGAGGCTCCTCCCTGCCCCCCCCCCCCGAGGGCACCACAATGCTGATGTGGCCCTGGCACTTTGCGATAAATAAGTGGGTTTTGGGTTGTGGTTTGGGCACTCGGTCTCTAAAAGGTTCGCCATCACTGGCCTAAAGAGTTATTTTACTGAGCATCCTTTTATTGAGGTTTGTAACTTAACTGTGGAATCATAGTGAGAGAAGACATAATGTGGAGGGGCGTTTTTGATCCATATTAAAAGACTCGCAGCTTGGAATAAGAATAGCACCCTGTTAATGATGATTCAGAAGTTTAAGATATATTAAAAATACTCCAACACATTGCCTATTTACTTATAAATAGTATAGATCACTCATTCTCACTTCTCTCATCTGAGGCACTTAAAATCAAGGCCACCTCTGAATATAGCTGATACAGCCTGATTTAGAGTCTCCACAGAAACTGTGTTGACAAATTTTAGGTGTAGCTCACTTTACCTGTATTTGCTTGGCTGTTTTGCCCAGCTAGACAAATCCTATAAAACTACAAATTCGCTTAGATATTTTATCCTTAGATCTGTTGTTCAAGCCCCATTTTGCTTTCTTCTACGCCCTGTGGCTTTTATTACTTGACAATAATACTTCAGGTCTTTATGATTTCTTCAGTCACGGAGAACTTGAAGTGACTCCAAGCTAGTTTTGCTTAGCTAAACTAAGACACCACACGACATGATTTTGTGATTTTAGCATCTTCTCCTTCAGTGACCAGTCAGGCTGAAATACTGTATTGCAGAGGTCCCCAACCTTTTGGGCACCAGGGACCGGTTACGTGAAGAGAGGTTTTTCCGCGGACCGGAGGGGGCGTGGTTTTGTGTGCTGCCTGCATCCCGGGGATGGGGCTTTGCTTGTTTGTGTGGCCCGATTGCTGACATGCCGCAGCCCGGTACCGGTCCACGGACTGGGGGTTGGGGACCCCTGCTGTACTGGATTTCTCTTTTGGCTTTGTCTTCTACCATATGAAGAATCAGCCAAAATTCTGCAAGGTGATTTTAGGACGCAGCCAGTGATTCTATAGCATAGGTTGTGCTTTGGGGCCTACCAAGCTATATCCCTTTGGAACAGAACTATAGGTAGTCCTCAACTTACAACAGTTCACTTAGTGATCGTTCGAAGTTACAACAGCACTAAAAAAAGTGAATTATGAACAATTTTCACATGACTATTGAAGCATCCCCACAGTCACATGATCAAAATTCAGATGCTTGGCGACTGACTCATATTCATGATGTCTGCAGTGTCCTGGAGTCATGTGATCTCCTTCTGCAACCTTCTGACAAGCAAAGTCAGTGAAGGGACCAGATTCACTTAACAACCGTGTTACTAGCTTCTTAACAACTGAAGTGATTCACTTAACAGCTGTGGCAAGAAAGGTTGTAAAATGGGGAAGAACTCTCTTAAGAAATGTCTCGCTTAGTAACAGCATTTTGGTTAAGTGAGACATTTCAGTCCCCCCCCCCCCATTTTATGACCTTCCTTGCAGCAGCTGTTAAGTGAATCACTGCAGTTGTTCACTGCAGAAATTTTGGGGTCAATTGTGGTTATAAGTCAAGGACTACCTGTATATCCTTAGGATCATAATGTGCCAGCAGGGCCTACAGTAGATTGCCTTAAGAAGCCTATGCATATGTTCCCAGGTTTTTTTTTATTAAAGTCCATTGGACCTATTTTTAAATTAAATATATAACAGTGTTTGGCAGTGTAGAATGCCCAACTGTTAGTCCATCAGAATATGAATAACTATGATTGCCACTGAATGCCATTTGTGCAGAAAAAGAGGTAGATCACTATCAGCATCAAGAGAATATAATTGGTGATTCCAAGAACTGAATCAAGGGAACTAGCATGTAGACCAGTGGTGGCAAACCTATGGCACGCGTGCCAGAGGCGGCACTCAGAGCCCTCTCTGTTGGCATGCGCGCCACCGCCATCAGCGGGTCCATCAAGCTGCCACCACCGCCTGGAGCAGGAGACCCACCCAGCAGAAAGGAGGCGAAGCGGCCGACTAGCAAGCTCGAGTAGAGGTGGTAGAGCAGAGGTCACTAACCATTGTCTCTAAAAGGTTCGCCATCACTGATGTAGACACAGGTCAGCTGGCACTGAAACAGACTGTCCAATTTTGCTCGATAACAGAATAGATGCCATGGAGCAGGGGTCCTCAACCTTGGCAACTTTTAAGACTTGTGGACTTCCAACTCCCAGAATTCCTCAGCCAGGAATTGGGAGTTGAAGTCCACAACTCTTAAAGTTGCCACGGTTGACGACCCCTGCCATGGAGGCTAATGAGTCCGGGGAGCCATAGGTTAATCCAGTACCTGTTTTATCCTCTTTAAAAGCAAAGATAGCTGGGAAGGTGCAGGGGTGATAGCAAGAACCCAAACTTTGCTTTGCAGCAAACTTTGAAAACTTCAAAGCTATGACTAATGCAGACCTTAATCTGCCCATTTCATTTTTGAGCTGAGTTTGTGCTTACGGAGGAATGCCTGGCGTGTAGCTGAAGAGATAAGCGAGTTCTGTTGTTTTTTTTCCTCCCCATTTTGTTAATGGAAAATGCTTGCCAGAGTCCGTTGTTGTTATTTGGGGGGGAAGGAGGTGGGGGGGGAGAAGGCGAAGAAAAATCTATTTGCCTAGTGGACAGGCGAGACAAATCTTTTCCGTGCCTGTATACCCGTGTTACTGTTTTTTCATTTAGAGTTGGACAAAGACTCCAGAAAGTTTATGGAGGAAGAAGTGTTGCAAATAAACGGAGAGAAAGGTTTTTATGGAAGCTCGTTTTAACTAGCCGCATTGGAGTTAATTTAGACAACTCTCTCTTGTGGGTGGAGAAGAACTGAGCCCATATGTTTTCGGCAGATGGTTATATTTCCGTTTGTAGCCTGAGGAACGGGATGAAATTAACAGCTATTTTTCAGCATTCATTTAGTGAGCGTTCGAAGTTACAGCGCCACTGAAAAAAGTGACTTATGACCGTTTTTCACACTTAACGACAGTTGCAGCAGCCCCGTGGTCACGTGATCAACATCCAGACGCTTGGCCACTGGTTCATATTTACGATGGTCGCAGTGACCCGTGGTCATGTGATCCCCTTTTGCGACCTCCTGACAAGCAAACTCAGTGGGAAAGCCAGATTCGCTTAACCACCGTGTTACTAACTTAACAACTGCAATGATTCACTTTGACAATTGCGGCATGAAAGGACGTAAAATGGGGCGAAATTCACTTAACAGCTGTCTGACTTAACAACACAAATTTGGGGCTCAGTTGTGGTCGTAAGTCGACCAACTACCTGTAATGTGGGCCCAGGTCTGTAGCTTACTAGGGCTAGCCCAGGGGTGGGGAACCTTGGCTCTTTTATGACTTGTGGACTTCAACTCCCAGAATTCCTGAGCCTGAACCATGCTGGCTCAGGAATTCTGGGAGTTGAAGTCCACAAGTCATAAAAGGGCCACGGTTCCCCACCCCTGGCCTAGCCAAATCCCAGCAAGATGTAAATCCAATCTCCTTTTTATCACTCGTTTTGCAGACTTAAATTTCCAGGTGTGGATTTTTAATAAAACATTCAGATATTGAAAGCCAGAGGGAAAATATTTTCTGTCAGCATTTCCTTGTCTGACCGTGGGATCACGCAACCGTTGAGCAAGGATTCAAACCAAAGGCAACCTCTCTGAGAATGGAGATATTTTGGCTCTATTTAGCCCAGACGATCTAATTCATTTTCAAAAATGAATCTTATTTCTTTCCCCCCCTGGGAAGAATGAACATTGGACAGCTTTGTTCCTGCTGTTATTTGTCCTGCTGCAGACCCCCTGGGAGCACAAAACAATAACAACCCAAATACAATCTGTATTGAAATTGCTTTTCCAGCCGTGCACAGTCCCTCTTTTCGCAGACGGTGCCTCTGCCATCTTCAAACATGTCATGTAATTAGCACTGATAGATTGTGTTTGTATCCCGAGCTAAGTTGTAGAAAATTCCCAGCAATGATCCAACTGAGGAAAACATGTAACCACGATGTAAACAAGATGTTGAGACTCTAGAAAGAGTACAGAGAAGAGCAACAAAGATGATCAGGGGGCTGGAGGCTAAAACATATAAGGAACGGTTGCTGGAATGGGGTATGTCTAGTTTAATGAAGAGAAGGACGAGGGGGGACATGATAGCAGTGTTCCCATATCTCAGGGGCTGCCACAAAGAAGAGGGAGTCAAGCTATTTTCCAAAGCGCCTGAAGGCAAGACAAGAAGCAATGGGTGGAAACTAATCAAGGAGAGAACATCTTCAATGATAGGTTTTTTTTTAAGATAGATTTGTGACAAATAACCCAACATACACATAGCCATGTTTTCAGCAATGATCCAACTAAGGCCAGAATAGGATAACTCGCTGTGGCCAACTTGTCATGACCAATTAGCTGTGGGACCAATGGTGGGATTCAAATATGTGAACAACCGGTTCTCTGTGTGGATGCCGCTTCCAGAAATCCATTCTGGGCCTGGGGAACAAAAAATTAGCTACCAGTTCTGCCGAAGTGGTGCGAACCGGCTGAATCCCCCCACTGCGTGGGACAACTCGTCATGGGACAATTCAACAAATATAAAAGTTGAATTAATTTCGATGGTACCATGACCAACAATAATAAAAGAAAGAAAGTCAATGCAGAAACACAAGAGTTACATTAATTTCGACGAAAGTATGGTCACCAATAATAAAAGTACCTGAATGAAAAAAAATGATTACAGTGTTGAATTGTCGTGAGGCAAGTTGCCCTGTGGCCAATTGTCCGTGGCCAGTTGGTCATGGTGAGTTAGCCATGGTAAATTGGTCACAGTGAGTTGTCCTAGACCCAACTAAGGCAGGTGTCTCCAAACTTGGCAACTTCTAAGACTTGTGGACTTCAACTCCCAGAAGTCCCCGTCTAGCATGGTTGTCTGAGGAATTCTGGGAGTTGAAGTCCACATGTCTTAAAAGTTGTCAGGTTTGGAGAGCCCAGAACTAAAGGAAACATCTCCATAGTTATTATTATTATTTTTTTAGATAAATTTGTGACAAATACCCAAGCATGAACATAGCCATGTTCTGGCCGCTACAAAATTACAGTTTTGCTTTTTATCAAAGCGATCGGTTTCCGTTGTTGACTTTTCTTCTTCTAACTTTCTCGCCTCTCTGTCTCTCCCAGCCTGCCATCCCTCTTGTAAGACGTGCAGCGGGCCTGGTGATGATGAATGCACCGCTTGTCATCCCCACGTCTCTTTCCTCAATGGAAGATGCAGAACTCCCTGCAGGAGAGAGCAATACCTCAATCTGGTGGGACACTGTGCGGGTAAGTGCAGGAGAAATATTGAACCGCTTGCAGCACGATTTATTGTTTGGCCCTGCCACATTTGTAACCCTCTGCCTCTTTCCCTCGGAGGAGTTCAAGGATAATGCAGTTTTGTCTTCATTCTGAACTGAATCAGTCGGAAGTTTCTGCTTTGTTTATTGCTCCGTTTGAGGCAAAATACAGATTTGTACTCCGGCTGTCAGCTGCCACTTTATGCTTGCTTGTGCTTTGCTACATTATGGTGACAGATTGCTTTGGACCCTGGGGGGCATGGGGAGAGGAGGGCAAGTGGGAGAAACTAAAGTAAGTACTGTGTCTCTTGGAGACACTGCTTCAAGGTCACCCAGCACACCAGCTGCACACCATCCTGTGCCTGGATTGACCATTATGAAAACATCCTGCCTGTCTGTGGTGGAAGGTAGCTAAGGGAGAGAAAAGTTTAACTTAAGGTTTTTGGCACCCGATTCTCAGTTCTGCAATAGACTTGACTTTCAATAAACCTATTCCTTCCTCAGCAAATGGAGCCTGGGATCGTTTCTACTTAGAGGTCTAAGTCAGTGATGGCGAACCTTTTAGAGACCGAGTGCCCAAACTGCAACCCAAAACCCACTTATGCATCATCGGGTGCCGGGTGGCTGTGGCCCATTGGGTGGGTGTGGCCCATTGGGTGGGTGTGGCCCCATTGGGTGGGCGTGGCTGCAGTGGTAACAGCAGACCGGGTGGGACTAAAAAGTTTAATCAATCAATTCCAACTTTGCAAGATCTTTTTTTTTCCCGCGAGAAGTTGAAATTGACTGATTGAACCTTTTTTTTTTGTACACGGCGGCGGAGGCCTAAAGTGAAAAGGTTTTATAAAACCCAGCTGAAGGCCTAGGACTGGGGCGACAGCGCGCGTGCCCACAGAGAGGGCTCTGAGTGCCGCCTCTGGCAGCCGTGCCATAGGTTCGCCACCACTGGTCTAAGTGGTGGCAAGTCCGACACAGGCTTTCTTGATCTGAATCCAGCAGTTTGGACACACAGCTGCAAATGGGCGTTTGTTTTCAAAATACAACCTTGGAACTGGCTATTACCTGGCACATCTTGATGGCATTTCCCAGTACCTTTGTAGGAACTGAAGTGATTATAGTGCAAATACTTTTGAAGGTGGCTTCTATTGACAAGAGACTCAGTGTACTGAGGATGTTCTCTTGAGGGACTAGACCAGGGGTAGGCAACCTTGGCTCTTTTATGACTCGTGGACTTCAACTCCCAGAATTCCTGAGCCAGCCATGCTGAGGAGAAATGGAGAGGTTTCCATGCTGAGCCATGCTGGCTCAGGAATTCTGGGAGTTGAAGTCCACGAGTCATAAAAGAGCCAAGGTTGCCTACCCCTGGACTAGACCATGTGTTGGCCAGATGTCCCCTACTTCAATAGATCTTGCCCATGGTATCTTTTTTGGCGGATGTGCTACAGATGTGTTGTACAATTTTGCTGATCCACACCAGCATAATTGTTTTTATTTGTTCAAAAGAATTTCATCATGTTTTAGTTTGTCAGGATAACACGCATAAACCCTACAATCAAGCAAAGGAAATCAGATGATCTCTGGGACAAAAAGTTTTATTAAGCACTAAGCTTTCGTCAGCCACTGCTGACATTGTCAAAGTGTAAGCTAACATTGGAAAGACTTTGTTTTATAGCCCTTTAAGTGTCGGTAATATGGCCATTGAGCACGTAATAGGTCCGTCAGTCCGCTGCCCACGTGTGATTGGACGTATTGATCTCGGTTCGGTTGTATTGGCTGGCATCCGCCTAGCTCTCGACGCTCTGCCTCCCGCCGCTTGCTCCGCCAGTCGAACATGCCTGTCATATAGCGTCAGACCATCTGGTGTTGCCACATGGTCCCTCCCCCCGCCACCACAGTCTGCCACGCTGTCAACACTTCGTGTGTTTGCTTCAGCCGGTGGCCTCTCAGCCATACCCGTCACGTCAATTGCACCAGTTTGCTGTCTCGTCCTCGATCTCATAGTCAGTCCGGTCCATTCTCCCATCTCCCCAATCGTCATGGCTTCCACCGGCTGGAGCAAATATATATATATATATATATATATTCAAGATGGGCGAGACTTAGATCTCTTGTGGGCACAAAGGAACTTGATACTGATGACCCATTTGACCCCTCCCTTGGGCTCAGCCTGGTCATCTACACCTGCCTTAGTAATGGTAGTTCCAACAGTTCCGATTGCCATTATTAAGCAGGCACTATATGGGTCATTAAACAAGGACCTTTTGGGATTTACAATTTGTGATTTCCTGCAGGCTTCCCCATTGGCGTGATGGTGGGGTGGCTATGATGTCCATAACTATGGGGAGACTTCAGGACTTTTCCATGGAGATTTTTTTTACCTGATAAACCTATAAGTCTTATGTCAGACTCTCCCAAAAGAGTTTTGAATTTTTTTTTTTAAGCAGAACGAGTCAGTCAATAGGAAACAAATAACCTGCAAAAGATTTCAGATGCTATCATTCTGCAGTTCATTATTTCACAACTCCTTGTGTATTTCTTTTGGGCTAGAAAACTAATTTATTTGATCTCAGGAAATCATTTTTCATAGCTCATTTGTCTCTTCTGCCCCAGCATTGATACTACTTGGTTTTCTTGGAGCAGAATCAGGTATAAAAAAGTCAAAGCACTATGTTTTTTAAAGATTTTTTTAAAAAAGGTTACTGTACTTCAGAACAGAGACTCATCCTTATTTCCAGAAACTTTTTGAACCTCATGTAAATATTTTAGAAAACAAAAAAGCAGGCAAATGCAGCCTAGTCTTTGATTATTGTTTGCCCGTTTCTCCCAAAAAAGATGAATTAAGTTGCGGTGGTAAAGAGGACAGCAACAATATTATAGCTAGAGCAGTGGTCCCCAACCTTTGCGGTTTGGCCCGTCTGCGTGGAGTGGGGGGAGAGGAGAACTGGGCTGTGCGAGTGGCGAGCCAGCATGCCTGTGAACGCGCACGCAGCCCTTGCACGAGTGTCAGGCCAGCGCACACGTGAACAGCTTGACTGACACAAGTGGTAGGCCGGACACGCATGCGTGCAAATTCCCGCCAGCCCGCCGCTCATACAAGTTGAGTTGCGCTTGTCCACTCCGGCCAGCCACTCATGCAATAGACCACGGCCCGGGGGTTGGGGACCTCTGAACTAGAGACAGTGTTTACTTAACAATAGTACTAGAAACTCCATTGTTAAATGACAGGGTTGTAAGTTGAAAAACCATTTGATCATGCTGCTTTCCAATGACAGTTCCAACAGTCCCAGTTGCCATCATTAAGTGAGGACTGTGTGGGTCATTAAGCAAGGAGTTCATGTGATTGCAGTTTGTGACTTCCTGCTGGCTTCCCCATTGACATGACTGCAGGGATGTTGTAACAGCCGTAATTATGAGGACTGGTCATAACTGGCAGCCTTACGTAGTAGACCAGACAGAAAACATGACCGTAGAAGCTAATTCTACTTCATTGTAAAGCTACATTAACAGAATCTTGCAAGTCTGAAAGTACAATTCTCCCGCTGTCACATTTACAGACTGATGCACTGTTCCTGCTGTCCACTTATTCCACCCATTGTGTAGCTGTGGGCTGTGCTACCTTTTAACCTATTATCTGACAGTTCCCTAGGTAGCACCCATTTCCATTCCCAAGGTCATTCCCACATACTATTATAGTAACTACCATTCATTCAGCACCATTCTAACTTGAATGATCACTGAACTAGGGACCACCTAAACATGTTTTTCGAGAAGGAATTCAGGGTTGAGTTTCTGACATTCCCAGTTGAAAAGAACACTCTTCTCCTCCAAGCTGCTGCTTCCTATATTAGTTGGAACTGCAGCTGGGTTCAAGCAGATCAGATTGGGGAGGAGTTGACTGGAAGGGTGCAACATGGAGTATTTAACAGCATGGAATATTTATTTGTGTGCTTTAAGCTCTGTTTAACCAAAAGGGATATATGCTGGCCATGAGCCAAAAATATGTTGAACAAGTTTCCTTCCTCGCTTATGTGATCCGAATCGCATTTCTACCTCCTTCCAAGCATTCTGCAATTTAAAATGTTCTGGCATTTGATTTTGCTCTCTGGTTACTCCCAATTGACTGGCATACAGTAACTGCATGCTTAGCTATAGCAGATCTAAACTGCACAAATTCAGACAAGCGCTAATGGGCAGCAGAACAGATAGCATTCACATATACTGTAGAATGTGGAAGGGTGAAGATTCAACTTGGGATTGTTGCGGACAGTTTTTTTTTTTATTATTTAGAAGTAGTCCTCAACTTATGCCCATTCATTTAGTGACCGTTCGAAGTAACAACAGCACTGAAAAAAGTGACTTGTGACCGTTTTTCAGACTTAACAACCATTGCAGTATCCCCATGATCACATGATCAAAATTTGGATACTTGGCAACTGACTCGTATTTATGACGGTTGCAGTGTCCTGGGGTCATGTGATCCTATTTTGCGACCTTCTGACAAACAAAGTCAATGGGGAAGCCAGATTCACTTAACAACTGTGTGACTATCTTAACAATTAGAATGATTTGCTTAACAGCTGTGGCAAGAAAGGTCATAAAATGGGGCAAAACTCACTTAACAACTGCCTCAGTTAGCAACAGAAATGTTGGGCTTAATTATGGTCGTAAGTCAAGGACTACCTGTATAGTGAATGTTGTCCAGCTCAGCTGTTGACTTATCTTAGAGTCTGAACACATTTTGAAAGTCACCATGTGGCTCTGTCTTTAAGTATGATTAGTGATTTGGTAGCAAGTAGCTGTCACATAATTTCATAGAACTTCAGGTATTATAATGTGTGTATCAGTTTTCCTCAGCTAGAAGCTTCTTTACATGTTTTGAAATAAAATGGAGAGAATGTCTAGTCTAATGAAGAGAAGGATGAGGGGGGACATGAGAGCAGTGTTCCAATATCTCAGGGGCTGCGCCAAAGAAGAGGGAGTCAAGCTATTCTC